CATGGTTCTTTCTAGTTTCTTCTGTTCACGTTTTTTGTTTATGTGCTTGTGATATGATGATGGTAGTAAGGGTTAGAGTGAATGGGATATGGAGAAAATGCAGCTTGATGTATTTGGGGATTTGTGGAAAGATTTATGGATGATTTTATGAATGATTTGTGGTGCTCGAAATCAGTAGATGCAAGTGGCAAAAAAGGAAAAAAAAACTTTAGTCCCATCTTTAGGTTGGTGTTACCAACCGGTACTAAAGATCGATCTTTAGTCTTAGGTATTTCACCCGAGAGTAAAGATGGGTATCTTTAGTCCGGGACCAGGGTTAAAAACCTTTTCTCCATCGGTGAATCACATCATATTTAAATTTCTCTCTATTTCACCCTCAACCACTCTCTCTCTAAACCCCCTTATTCAACAGGGGCAGCTGGATAATTTTTCCTCCCTATTAATTTTCCCTCGCTCAAAAAAATACACTTCCATTGAAATAGACGATGTAAGAGAATAAAAATGAAGTTATTTTGCGATAAATGGAAGAGACAAAGATGTACTGCATCTGTCTTAAAAATATAATAATTTTAACTACGTATTCGGATGAGTGATTGTCAAAAACATACTTTTGGAACGGATAGGGATGAAAGGAGTGTAGCTTAGCTCGCCACACCAAACACATGCGCATCAGCGCACCCCAGTTGCGGAGCTGGTCCCGGCCGGCCGGCGAGGACAGATCGAGTTTGGTTGGTTTCGCTCGTTTTGCAGCCCACGAAGAAAAACGCAGAACAACAGCGGTTCGATGAACGGCGGCCAGCTAGACTGTACTGCCATATCGACCGCGGCGTATGCACTCCGCGGCCGTGGTAAAAGAGTGCTAAAGCCCTCCCCACGGCAGGCGTACGACTCAAGTCACAACTAGGGAAATACTGCGCGCCGGGCGCCCGACGGCTGTAGGAAAAATTGGACGCCTCGGACACCCACGCCTTCTGCCGCTCCTATTTCATATAGTTTTAAAATGAATTTTCTCTTAAACTAATTATCCAATCTACGATCCGATCACACCGTTGCATTCGTTGCGATTAAATCTTTACAACAAGACCACGCATGATTATATTTCGATAAAAAATATTTTAGCTTTTCTATTGATATTTTTTTTTGAATGTTGCATATGATCTCTTTTGATGTTTTAACCAGTAGTTTTACGATGTTTCAGCTAGTGTACTCGCGATGTTTCACTATGTACGGATCAAGTGTTGCAGTGGATTTTGATATTTATGGAACACGCCGTTGCAACAAATCACCCACATATTTAGTAAACCCCCTATTAAGGGAATTTGGTTTATTTTTTGTTCCACCAAAAATGTTTCACCTAGTGTACTCACAATGTTTCACTATGATCTAATGTTGCAGTTAACTGAAATATTCCATTGCAACAAAAAACCCACATATTTTGAAAACTCTCTATTAAGGGAATTCGTTTCATTTTTTGTTCCACCGAAAAATGTTTCACCTAGTGTACTTATAATGTTTCACTATGTATGGATAAAATGTTGCAGTGAACTGAAACATTCTTTCGCTATTTGTTGAAACATTGTTTTTATATAAGGTGAAACAACACCCGATTTAAACGAGTGAAACATTTTTGATCTATTTAGTGAAACAATTCCGATATACCTGTTGTAACATCGTACAACATTTAAAAATAATTCAATAATAAGCTAAAAAAAATTTCGTCGGAATATATCCATGTGTGGTCTTGTTTAGAAGATTTAATTGCAACGAATTTAACGGTACAACCAGATCATAATTTGGATAAGTAATTTAAGAGAAAAATCAGTTTAAAATAGTTTTGCACGTAAATCGGATGCTGGCGTCATGTGTCTGTTGACAGAAAACACGAGGCCTGGGAGATCTGCTTAACTCCAGTGCAGGTTCAAAGCTCGCCTTCGAATGTATGAGCGTGCCAGTTGATTTGATACTGTAATCAACAAGAAATAGAAGCAAAGAAACCGCAGTTAAATCTATAAATGATAGCCAATCGGCTAGGTACCGATGACATATCATTTATCTTTGAGCAGATGTCGTATATGCATCGATCGGCAGTCATTAATAAATAAGAAAGGACTGAATCTACTCGATCGGCTGCAGATATTACCAATATATAATCTTTATATCGGTATATACTTAAATCAAGTGATTGGGATAGATCGGTCGCCATGCCGAGACAGTATAAATCACTTAGATCGAAATATATATTAATAATGAGACTATATACGTTCATAGCATAGCCGATCAGATAGATCTAGCATGTATCGGCTAATACTCCGATACTACTCTATATTAAGATATTAAAGCAAGTAGAATATACTAAACACAAGCCTAATATACTTAAATGCAGCAAGATCTTAACATAAAGGGCAGATTTAACATGTCAATTAAGCATATAGGATAAAAAGTAGTTAAATCAGGTAAGATCGGCTGAAACTCCGATACTACCCTAATCAGCAACCAAGAAGCGGGCTAGAGATTAAGATTCTAATCATGACTCATAAGGTCAAACTTAACTGATGCAGCTATAAGTATGAAAAGAATGACAATATCTAGACAATCAAGCCGTTGGATGTGTCATAGAGTGGTAGATATCCTATATAATCTAAGTCAACATCGGTATTTAACCTAATCGGCTGCCTTCTATTGACGGATGTTAGCCGATTGTAGGTTGGATATCGATATTGCCAAGGATTATGTAGGATATATGATAACTTGACGAATTACATAAACAAGATTAGAGTGTCATAAAGATGGAAGCACTAATCCCGAGAACGCAAGCCGTCATAACAAGTTTTACCTCTTGTTGAAGATCGAAACCGATGCAGCTCAACCCGAAAGCAAGAACTCGTTGAAATAAAACTAAAGCAAAAAAAGTGGCGATGCGCCGAGATTGTATTGAACGTGTGTGTTTTTTTTTTCAAGTTACATAGGGCTCGGGTCTATTTATACCCGAAAATTACAAGATATGTCCATAATGGACACGACAACTATCTCTAACAAACTCTAAGATACCATAAGTCTTTGCGGCAGACTTTTGCCCAAGCATATCTGTAAGGAAATTACATAAAACATCCTAATTAATAGATACAATTGCCTTCTCAGGACTCTATCCATGTGCGGCAATCACCTTGAAGCACCTCAATTCAACCCGATGTCATACATCAAGTTGCATTGTCGGAATCGGCTGCATCGGCTTACCTAGCCCGACTCAGACCCAGCCGATCCTAATCGTAGCCGATCTGGACTCCAGTCGATTCATGCTCTGTTTCCGAACTCGATCTCCGCCTCCGACTTTGCTTCGATCTAATCTTCTTTCCCGATGTCGATATTACCAAATTTGGTTGTTAACAGCGTCCGATTTTTCCCAAAAGCATCGGACATCCGAGCCGGAGTTGCCTCCCAACTAATAGAGCCGAAGCCCTTCTGCGCAACAGCGTGGCGAGCTACGACTGTGGTGCGTGGAGATGAGAGCGATCGTGGACAACTGGACCGGAAATGCTAAAGGGCGATCGCTCGCCTGGGGGTGGGGGTAGCGATCAATTCGCCCCCCTCCCCCTCCCTCTCTCCACCTGGTTTCCTTTTTTGGCACCGCATTACTTTCCTATTTTAGTAAATTTATGCACCTAAAGTTTATATATCTCAAGTTTACACATCTAAAGTTTAGAGACGAAAAGTTTATAAGTCAAAAGTTTATATATCCGATTCAAATTTGAATTTGAATTCAAATATTTTTGTATATATAGTATTTCTATACATCTAAAGTATAGAAATATTACACCTAAAGTTTATATATCCGATTTAAATTTGAATTTGAATTATATCCGATTCAAATTTGAATTTGAATTCAAATATTTTTCATATATAGTATTTCTATGCATCTAAAGTTTATAGATCTAAAGTTTATACACCTAAAGTTTATATACCCGATTCAAATTTGAATTTGAATTATATCCGATTCAAATTTGAATTTGAATTCAAATATTTTCTATATATAGTATTTCGATACATTTAAAGTTTATACACCTAAAGTTTATAGACCCAAAGTTTATAAGTCAAAAGTTTACATACCCGATTCAAATTTGAATTTGAATTCAAATTTTTTATGTATAGTATTTCTATACATAAATTTTTCTAACTTTTTAACTTTTGTTTTTTTTAAAAAATTTTGTGGTGTACTATAGTAGGAAGAGAAGAAGGGGAGGAGGAAGGGGGAGGAGTGGGAGGAGGTATTGCCTATAGGGGGAGGGGGGGCTGATCTTATCGCTTGGATCGATCGCTGGCGATCGATCGCCCGTTAGGGCCCCTCGGCTCAGCCAAGGGCCTGGCGCCCCTGGCCTGTGCCCTGACGACCCTACCACAACATACCATGCCAGCCACAGTTCTTACTACGTTTAGGGGTTCAGAGCCCCCTCATGATTTTTAGCTGTATCTCCGTTCATCTCGATCGGTTGGTCAGCATACATCAGTATACACGTCTAGTCGATCGCCTACAGAAAAGCAAAAATCATGTAACTTTTGTGCGTGTAGTCACTTGATCTGGAGGTCTCATCGTTTGGCTTTTTTCGTAATAAGCCAAAACGGCTTATTAGAGAATACAAATGAATTTGTAGATAAAACTTTTATATATGTATTCTCGGTGACTTAAAAGCTAATACTGAAAAAAAAACTACGTTAAAAATATCTTAAAATCAATATCAAAATTAAGTTTAAAAATTTAAATTTTAGCTTTTTCTTTGATTTAATAGTCCATCTCATGGGAGCCTGGAATCTTTTGGATCGCACCGGCGAGGGGTGACCACCTAAGTATCTCCAATCGAACCTAGGACACATTCACACACGCTCGTGCAGACGCGTGACGTTCGCGCGTTGCGGCTTACACGGACGCGTACGTGAAAAACGAGTCCGTTGATTAACCACACCGTCCGTTGATAAACCACCCCCCCCCCCCCCCCCCAATCACCTGATCGCCCACCGACGAGCGGTTCTTGCATTTCACCGAGCGCGTGCGCGCGGCAGCCAGTCACCCGCGGGAATCGATCGACGATCCATGGCCAGCGGCTACCCGGCGGGAGGCGAACAACCCTCCGGTCGCCTCGTGGTCCTCCGGCCTCTGCGACTGCTACGACGACGTCGGCGGCTGTAAGCTTCTTGAACTCATTACACTTGCTCACAATCTATCTCGATCGTTTTCCGGTGACTTCAATTTACGCCGCGGCATGCAGGCTGCCTGACCTTCTTCTGCCCGTGCGTCGCCTTCGGGAGGATCGCGGAGATCGTCGACCAGGGAGCCACATGTAAGCCTGCCGCCTCTGTCTGACGCACGCACGCACTGCAACTGATTAATTAAGTTTCATGGCCAACAACCTCTTCGATCGCTAAACAAACTGCATGCGTGGTTTGGCCATGATGAACTGAAGCGTGCTGCGCGAGAGGGACGCTGTATATGTTGCTGGCGATGGCGACGGGGTTCGCGTGCGCCTACTCCTGCTGCTACCGCTCCAGGCTGCACCAGCAGTACGGGCTCCAGGAGAAGCCCTGCGGCGACTGCTGCGTCCACTGGTGCTGCGGGCCCTGCGCCCTCTGCCAGGAGTACCGCGAGCTCAAGAGCCGCGGCTTCGACATGTCCCTCGGTATGTTAGAGAAGAGGGGGAATCGCGTCGATTTGTAGCGATCGAGCCACACTACGGGTCCACGGCGATGCCATGGTTCGTCGTCTTTGATCTGCAGATGAGATTGATTCGTTCGTCGGTTCGTGAATTTTTCAGGATGGCAGGGGAACATGGAGAGGATGGGGAAGGGCGTCGCGACTGCCCCGCCGCAGATGCACCCGGGGATGACTCGCTAGTGCGCGTCTGCGTCCGCGGGCATGTGGGCTTGCGTTGCGCCGATCAAGCTAGCGCGTGCGTAGGAAGCGTAGCAAGCAGTAGGCAGGGCATGCCTACGTGCAAGGTCGACGTCAAACTTGTTTTTAGCTTCTGCTATATTTCATCTTGTCGCGAGAGCCATGAGCTCTGATGTGTGCGTTTCCATTGGCAATATTGTGTCGTCATCGCCCTCGGCCGGGCACCCACCATGTGTTGTCTATATATATGTGCCTTTGCAACAGTGTCAGCCAGATTTGCGTGGGTGTAAAAATTGCAAAGAGGTTATGTCTTTCATCTGATGAGTAGTAGCAGTAGTATGATGCAGGCAATGTATTAAGACTACTGGATCAATATGTAGTATGTTTTATGATTTCAGTTAATAAGATGCTGGAGGCTTTTAGCGTGAGGCTTACTCTCGCGTGTGTACTCTCTCTGTTCTAAAATAGATGAAATTAATACACACATCATACTATAAATCTACACAGATATCATATCTTGTACTAGTTTTTTTAAAACATATCAAAATTTCATTGACCCGGCTTTGGTAGAAAGCCCAATAAACAACCAGAGTCTTATATAGATATAGAAGCAACAAAATACCTCACAAAAAAAAGAAGCAACAAAATAAAACAGAAACATAACGCCAACAAACAGCGCTGGAACTCATCAAAAGCAAGCACCATCCATCCTAGCGAAGATATCACACCCTAGATAGAGCTCGAAACACATAACAAAGAAGCCAAGTGCAAATTTCACAGCTAAACTACTGCAGGAAGGCAGCACGGCTTCAATTGGTTCAGTTTGGGAGATGGATTCTAATCTCTCGGGGAGACGTTCACCCGTTTCTTGCATGCCATCTAAATAATTATGAAAAAATTCCAAAAAAAATTATAAGATAGGTTAATATGTAATATATCATCTCACAAACTTGCAAGTTTAATTTCGACTTCTACAAGTTGTACCAAAAATAACAAATTAAACTCTAACTAGTATACGTATATTCACAGTCAAATTTGTTATTTTTATTACAACTTGTAGAAGTCGAATTTGAACTTATATGTTTGTGATATGATATATTACATATTAACCTATCATGTCAATTTTTTTGAAAATTTTGCATAACCATTTAGATGACATGTAAGAAACGGGTGAACGTTCACCCGAGTGTTTAAAACAGTTTCCAGTTCAGTTTGCCCATCAACAGCTCACACCGCCCTTTTCATGATTGCTTGATCTTTTTCCCTTAGCAGAATGCACCACCACTGAATAAAAGACAGAGATTTATAAAGTGATCTGTAAAGGGGACTTGACCAAAATATCTGAAAAAAACCGGTCATTCCTAGTTAACCAGAGCATCCAACACACATTCACCAAGCCCAGACAATCTCTAATGTTTACCGGATTACTTGTTAACCCCAAAGCATCTCTCACCACACACCAAGTAAACATTGCTAAAGGGCATTTAAACAAAATGTGATTAGTAGTTTCAATCTTGCCACAGAGCTTGAAGAACTCATCCCCTCCTTGCCATTTTCTTTTATTCAATCAATTGGACTGTACAAGGAAGTTTTTCTATGTCTGCCATATATAGAAAGCATTTAAATTTTAAAGGGATTTCACTCTTCCAAATATTCACCGTCTCAATATCCCTTACACCCCCAAAAGTAATCTCTCTATATATTAATCTAGTTGTGAGGGTCTTTTTGCTGTTATGAGGCCAGATCAACATATCTCTGTCCCCCTCTAGGACATAATCTTGTATCATATTTCTTAACACTTCCAGCTCAGCCTCCCCAACACTGTCCAGATTTCTTCTAAACTCCAAACTCCATATCCCCTCATCATACAAATCCTTCACAGTAGTATTTTGATGACAGCCGATTTCAAAAAGCTTTGGAAACAACACCTTTAGAGAAGACTGACCACACCAAACATCTGTCCAAAAATATACACCATCCCTTTATGAACTTCTTTCATTACTAATCTCTCCAACACCACTCTACACTCATGCAGTCTTTTCCAGAATTGAGATCCCCCTTTGAAGAACTATGAAAAAAAAGCCCTTGACATCTTTTACTAGTTTTGTTGTATGTTTTGGGATAGAGGAAGTAAATTATACGATGAGTTCGTAATTTCTATGGGTGAACATGTCTACATGAAGCCATCAACAATCTAGCTACTTGTACCATCCAAGCCCAATCAAATACTCTGATAAATTATGAAAGGCAAAACAAGGAAATTATCACTATTGGTGTTATAGTTGTGGTACCTGCATGACTTCATTTATTGGGATTTAAATTTTGATATCTAAATTTAGTTGTGTGCAGTTGGTGCAGAGCTGGGGAGTTATATTTCCTCTTACTATGAAAAAAAATTCAACGACAATATATACTTGGGCCCCTGAATTAATTATCTACCACAAATTCCTAGCTGCAGGTGGTACATTTTGAGTACTTGAAATTTGTTGATATGGTGAGCATTGCCTCTTCGATTAAGATGATTTTTAAATCACAGGAAATAGAAAAAAAAGTAGGAATAGAGTAGAAATGTATACAAAATAAATAATTGGCTCACATAGAATTATTTCGCATAGCAGCCCTATGTTTTTTTTCTTCGACATGAATAGTGCCTATTCATCATATTTTCAATAGTTTCCTGTGTGTACGCTCGAAACAGGCTTAAAATGCATAATCAAAAATTGGCAAGTTGCATTTTGCAAACAAAATAATATACGTACGGCGAAATGTTTAAAATGTCATCCAAAAACATCACCGTGCGCGTTGGTAGTTCCCGTTCCTCGACCATCTAACCCCTCTCTCTCTCTCTCCTGGACAGGTGTCGCCGCCAGTGAAGATCTCGCCCATCCACCTCCCCATCCGACGGCTCCCGATTTCCCGCACGCGCCCCCTTCGCGTCTTCGCGAGCCTTCTCGACAGGCAGAGCATGCAGGAGGCGCAGGCCCAACCCACGCGCCCACTTGCCGGCGATCGGCGGTGGCGGGTGGGCGGACGGTACACCTGTCGGGGTGCCCCGCAGCAGCGCCCCCCCTCTGAAAATGGCGCCGGGGGCGACGTGGCCGCCGGAGCGCCGCTCGTCCGCCGCATTTTTTATTACTCCCCCGGAAACCCCACCCCACTTGGCGTGGGGGCGCCTGCTTTGCTTTGGGGGTTATCTCTCTCTCTCTTCATCTACAAAGAGCACCACCACCACCACACGCTCCGTCGCATCCGACCAAATCCAGCGCAAAATCCATCATCGCCTCCCCCCCCTCGCGGCGGTCGTCGTCTTCGCGTCGTTCTCTCGGAGCCCCCCCTCGCTTAGATTGGATAGGATCGCGCCAATCGCGGTCTCGTCCTCCATGGCATCTGCCCCCCCCCCCCCTAGATTTCCGTAGGAGGTAGCTATCTAGCTTGCTGCCGCCCGTCGCATGACCACGACCCTCGGATCGTGGTGGCCGTTGGCTCCCCGATTAGCTTCTCCCATTGCCGCTCCTGTAGGCTGTAGCCCCAGCCGATATGCTTGCGTTGATTTTGATTCTGTGCCGCCTAGCGACCCGCCTCTCTTCATCTAGGGTTCAACCTTCGAGCCGGCTTCTCAGGTGAGACGTTCCACCGATTTTACAGCTTCTCCTCAGGCTCTCATATATATGTATTTTTTTTTGCATAGTTAAGTTGTTAATTGCTGATACTGAGTTAACTGAATGCCCCGAGCTGTGCGGTCGTTTTGGTGTGATTTGTGTGAAAAGTTTGATTAGTTTCGTTGTAGCATGAAATTACAAGCAGCTTATGCGTTTTGTTTCATGTACGGTTGTCAATGCCAGTGTTAATGTTAGCTTAGTTCTTTTCTTTCTTGATCAGGGAGTGCATTATTAATTGTTTTTTTAGAGTTGCACTGATACTAGAATTGCCATTACTTAGTTTTGTTTTGGGAGGATTTTGCTGCTTTTAACCGTGGTTAGGATAAGTGGATAACTCTTGTATTGGTCTCTAACGAGATTGCCTCTAGTACTTCTTTCTAGACTTTAGTGTCAGCGCCCTACATGTAGTCATGTACTGCACATCCACTCTGATATAATGAAAGCTTAAGTTTGAACTAATTTATAATTGTTTTGGCTTGTGAAGTGTGGTAACATATGTTTTCTAACTGAGGATGTATACACAGTTTATCTGATCTGTGTATATGTCGGATGTATGTGTTCATTATGCGTAACGGACATATGAGTATGCTAAAGTTATACTCTTGCATGCTGCTAAAGTTTAACACTCCCTTCTATATGACATAATATAGTACAATTCATTCAAGAGAATGTTTTATTCTGAAACTTCCTGGCTGTAGTTACATTTCTTCAGATGCATTTACTGAGTTTCAGTCTGCATGTTAGAATGTCTATTTGGTGGTTTTGTAGAACTCAAGAGTTTATGCAGTATATCTTATGGTAGTTTACTTTTGTTGATAGGCATGCAATAGTTTCATAGAGGTGCATGAATAAATAGTTAAAAATGCAAAATATTCTGCCAATGCTGGAGGTCAAATTGGCATGTGGGCTGACCATTTGAGAATTGATGAATTAATTCAGTAAAAATATAAAGCATATGGTTTTCATGCTTAGACTTGTTGCTTCATTATTATTTCCAAAATGTTTTCACTGTTGGAACTTGGAAAGGATTCCGTAACACTAATACCTTTCCAGTAATAAAAGAATGTGATGGATGGTAATTATGGTGAACAATTTGAAACATAACCAACAACTTTGTGAATTTTAGGTTGGATGTATGAGTGTGATGTGGGGATACTAGTAGTAGATTGTCTAAAAGATCTCTTTGCCGCATTTTTGTGTCACGTCCCAAGAGGTGATGACTGATGAGCCCAATCGCAATGCAACAATACCAATGTGAATACAGAATGGAGTTGAGAAGATAGAAGAGAAGCAAAGTATACAGAAATAACTCTATTTTATTTCATCTACTCTTTTGGACAAAGCAGTGCTCAGTTTTTGTATGGTCCTCATCTTAACACCTCAGATTATAACAACCACTAAATGGGCCTTGGCCCAAACATACTCCATTCTCAATAGCCCATTGCCAAAAGACTTTCATGTTCCTATCCCCACTGCTGTCAGCACAAGGAAACATTTAGTTTTTACAGACACGTTGAAAAATATTTTGTGCTCAAGGTTGTATTTTTGTGACTGTGTTATATATCAACCTTTTCTCCTTGCACAAATTGAGCTTAATGAAAATTTCATGGCAGATTGTTCTGCCATTAGCGCTATACTATTATTGGATTCTTTTTTGACATGAGCATGACACTAGTGTGATGGAGTCTGGTTAGTGTTAATACATGTCTCATCATATAAATATCATCCTTGCTATTGGCAGGATAATAAAACAAAAGAGATACTAAGTTGCATACCCAATGTGTTGTTTATCTGATGTCAAAGTTATCTTCACAGTTTTGGAGTTTGGACCAGCACTTGCATTATGCAGTTCTTGAAACAGAGCATTTGAGTTGACTAGTTTTTGTAGTGTCTGTTTGGTTGTGAACTCATGTCTTGCAACATGATCAGGCCTTCTATTTTTACAGCCCTGTATCATGATTGTCTTTTAATGTTTGATGGGCCAGTCAAATTAGTCACTAAATTATGAATATAGTTGTTTTGAGCATGTCCTACCAGTGCCAAATAGATTAGTTTTTTTTTTTTTTTGGGGGGGGGGGTGGGTTGACCTACTGGTACTATGGGGTGAATTTAGCTGAGAACAGCAGTTGATTCTTCATATCTCTGATTTTTAGTTTTTCTTTCTTCGCTGATATGAGCTTTTGTATGCTTTGATGAACACATTGTATGCCCTCTGCTTTTGAGCATTTACCACTTTACTAAAGTTTCTAATTCAGTGAAGAAATACTGAATATACAATTGTATTAACCAAGTTTCCCATACAAAACCTTTGCTAGTTCCATGCTATTTTCCTGATGATTATTATTATTCAGGACAGTTTGTACTTTGTAGTAGCACTGCACCGCTACTAGAAACACATGCAATGCAAAAGCTAGTTTGTAGAACAATTTGTATGGAAATAGTTTTCCATGCCATTTGAGCTACAACTGAAGGTTTCTAGTTCTGCATTTTGAGCAAACATCAACTTGTTTTTTACTGAAACATAAACTTGTTTTTAACACGAACTCTCGCGGTTCATAGTAAGGGAAAGGGGAAGGCTGCATTACTGCAACATTTAAATTTGTTAAGCAAATATTTGTGTAGTATGCCAATGAACTTTTTGTTGTATGTTTGCAATTTTTTTAACTGCCAATAGCACTAGCAACTAATTTCAAATATGACCCTTTTGATCCAGCTGACTAATTCTTCCTTTGCCTTCTCTGCTAGTTGCTGCAAGTGGAGGCGGCAAGCTAGAGACAGCAACTGCATATCTTGCAAGAAAATCGTAAGTCTTATTATTACTATCGCTAAATTATTTTGCTAGTGTAGTTAATCACCAAAACATTATCTTCTCTACCCCACACACTATTAAAACATGATTAATTCACTCCCTTTGACACTTGTCTCCTTGTAGATGCCATCATACTCTACTCACTCCGTCCCAAAATATAAGCATTTTTAGCTATGAATTTGGACAACCGTGTGTCCAGATTCATAGCCAAAAGTTATATTTTGGGACAGAGGTAGTATGTTAATATTATTATTGGAACTGTTCATGAATTTTACTTTATTTTTGAAATTTTCCATGTCTTTGCATGCATTATTTCATTTTCATATCTCGGGGGATTAGGCGCTCCCAACCTAGTGAAGTACACATTACATATTCCAAGAATTATTTGAAACAAGTTATGATGTAATTATCACCCAAGGTCTCGTGATTAGTATAAAATAGTTTTTCTGATATACATAACTAATAATCATTCTATCCGGTGGTACAAGTTAGTAACATGAAAGTGCATGGGTATTTAAGAGGCACAATTAGAGGTGTAAGGTCCAAGGTCTTGGGTCCTAGACAAAATTATTCTTTTGCTATAAACTTTCTGGACATATTACATTGATGTGCTTCTGATTATTTTGTGTGTATAAAGTTTTGCTAAAAGTACTATTTGCTACCCGACCCCTCTCTCCCCCCCCTCCCCCCTCCCCCTTTCGGAGAAGATGGCTTGGGGAGGTTACGAGCACTTGGCTCTGATACCAGCTCTTGCCCAGGCAGTGCTAGGGGTCTAGTCACCAGATATGAGGATAGGAATGCAGCATCTAGATGCAATGTTGGATGTGAGATTGGTATGTGGCAACTGGATGGTAATCCAGTTTGTTGATTTTCTTAAAAAATAATTATGCAAACATAAATGCAGTACATAAAGTAAAGACAAACTGTAAATACCATAACATGGTAGTTTTATATAGAATGGTCCATGTGTTCATTCATATACCTTGATAGGTTGAAGATAGATCCTTCTGAAGATTACACCAAGGACTTGGTACAACACGTTCATAATTATACATGTACAGGACTCTCACAAGGACTCTTACATAGACTCTCACACTTGACTTTCATAAGTCTTCTATTTAGGTTATAACTATACTACTAACACTTAGATGGAGTGGAGTGAAGTGTGATGGCTGGTGGAGAGGTGAGAGGAATGGTTGAGTGAGATGTGTTTTGGTTGTGTTGTGTTCCTGAGCCCCTTATATAGGACTTGGTGAAGAATCTTTATGATATATCCATTTGACTTTAAGGGGTTTTATGATGTCCCTTTAGATTTCACGGAGAGAATCTTTGGTGATGACGCTTTTGACCTTCAATAAAAGTATCATAATATCGCCTTTTGACTATAGGCATATCTTATCTTGAATAGTGTAGATTCCTTATCTTCAATAGTGTTTTTTGTCGGGGATGACAAGATCTTCATTCATTATCTTCACTGTATATCATGGGTGCCAATTGCATCATGTCAATTTTTGATGGCTCTGTTTTCTGATACCACTGAGCCAGGCTTCTGTAGTAAAATCTGGTTTAATTATACGTCCTGCTCCCTTGAAATATTCACAACTTTGGTTATAATATCTGCTAATAAAAATCCTTGTGATCTTGTTTTGGAAAACCAACTGATATTCATAATCTATGGTAATAGCTTCTTCAATTTCTGCAGCTTCAGAAAATAATCTCCAATTCTCATGATTTGCAATCATTGTATACATTTCTTCTTGTTCATCTGATAATTTGCTAGGACCGCCTTCTTGAAAATTAAATTGTTTATTCATGATATATATATATATATATATATATATATATATATATATATATATATATATATATATATATAGTGAATTGCTGGACGAGCATGTGGTGTGAATTTAGGTGGTATGGAGGAGAAGATAATCCTGTATCTTCCATTTCTAAGTCTTCTACAGACATCTTTTACAGCGCTTCCTAAATCAAATTGAAGAATCCGATCTAGTGTTGCATAGATAGAATTGACAAGACCATGATCTATAATGGTTTGGAGAGATATTTCATCATGGTTGTATGTGGGTAAGTTTCGGAATCTTTGGAGATTTATTTCGGCTTTGAGAACCATGAATCTATAGGATGGGTCAGAGATTACCTGATGATCATCTAACCTTAAGATAGGAAGCATGTATATGATTACTTGTATGGCTGGGTTTCTTTCTCTGCCTTATAAGAGATGAAAGAAATAATCTTGAAATATTTTCATTTGTCTCTCTTTAAACTTTTGCCAAACAAGGTCGAGGATGTCTTGCCCAAAGCAAGATAAAATTTGCTCTGTCTTGAAGCTCAATCTGGGTTGGAGATATTCATATGCGGTACTCATGGGATTTTGGCCTTTAAGTTTCTTTTGGTAAGAATCTTTGTAGGCACACGGTCTACATGGTGCTATTGGCTGGGTCCGAAGTATATATTGTGGAAGGAGGGAATTGGGATGATTATGCAATATATATGGTGTTTGGGCAAGAGCTGGTATCAAAGGCAAGAGCAACTTTTTGTGACAAGTCAACAAGCACGATCGCAGCACCTAAACGCCTTGCGGTGATATGGAGTCGCCAACCACCCGAGACCTGACGAAAACGGAGTCTAACTCAGACTCTACCGGTCAGACCGGCCACATGCCACCGGTCTGACCGGCTCTCCGGCGGCGGTCTGACCGGCCCACATATGGCGGTCAGACCGGCCCTTTCTGGAGGAAACCGGCAGAGCCCCAAACTTTCGCAATTTTTCCTATTTCGACCCTAGGTGCCAAATTTGGGTGTAAACAACAACCAAGATGAAATATCTTTCCAAACCTCTCCAAACCATTATAGATCGTGGTCTTGTCAATTCTATCTATGCAACACTAGATCAGATTCTTCAATCTGATTTAGGAACGTTGTAAAAGATGTCTGTAGAAGACTTATACGGTGAAGATAATGAATGAAGATCTTGTTATCCTCGACAAAAAACACTATTGAAGATAAGGAATCTACACTATTCAAGATAAGATATGCCTATAGTCAAAAGGCGATATTATGATACTTTTATTGAAGGTCAAAAGCGTCATCACCAAAGATTCTCTCCGTGAAGTCTAAAGGGATAATCATAAAACCCCTTAAAGTCAAATGGAGATATCATAAAGATTCTTCACCGAGTCCTATATAAGGGGCTCAGGAACACAACCACAACACATCTCACTCAACCATTCCTCTTCACCTCTCCACCAGCCATCACACTTCACTCCATCTAAGTGTTAGTAGATAGTTATAGTTATAACCTAAATAAAAGACTTATGAAATTCTAAGTGTGAGAGTCTATGTAAGAGTCCTTGTGAGAGTCATGTACCTGTATAATTACGAACGTGTTGTACCAAGTCCTTGGTGTAATCTTCAGAAGGATCTACCTTCAACCTATCAAGGTATATGAATGAACACATGGACCGTTCTATATAAAACTACTATGTTCTAAGTATCTAATTTACATTATGTCTTGTACATAATTGGTATTTACCGTTTGTCTTTACTTTCTATACTGCATTTATGTTTGCATAGAACTTTAAAAATTCAACAAACTGGATTACCATCCATTATGTTCTAAGTATCTAACATTCTTTTCTCTACCCCACACACTATTAAAACTTGATTAATTCACTCCCTTTGACACTTGTCTCCTTGTAGATGCCATCATACTCTACTCCCTCCGTCCCAAAATATAAGCATTTTTAGCTATGAATCTGGACAACTGTGTGTCCAGATTCATAGCCAAAAGTTATATTTTGGGATGGAGGTAGTATGTTAATATTATTATTGGAACTGTTCATGAATGTTACTTTATTTTTGAAATTTTCCATGTCTTTGCATGCATTATTTCATTTTCATATCTCGGGGGATTAGGCGCTCCCAACCTAGTGAAGTACACATTACAAATTCCAAGAATTATTTGAAACAAGTTATGATGTAATTATTACCCAAGGTCTCGTGCCTAGTATAAAATAGTTTTTCTGATATACATAACTAATAATCATTCTATCCGGTGGTATAAGTTAGTAACATGAAAGTGCATGGGTATTTAAGAGGCACAATTAGAGGTGTAAGGTCCAAGTTCTTGGGTCCTGGACAAAATGATTCTTTCGCTATAAACTTTCTGGACATATTACATTGATGTGCTTCTGATTATTTTATGTGTATAAAGTTTTGCTAAAGGTACTATTTGCGAGCATTTCTTAGAACAGTAAGAAAAGTTTTAATGAGCACATGTGTCTAAAATTATTAAGAAAGATTGAACGCTGATACCCAGTGGCGAAGCCAGGATCTAAGTATGAGGGGGCCCAGCTTTATAAGTGATTAAGATTATAAAAAAAATAGCGTAGAAAAGTTTATGCTAATCTAAATGTTCCCCATAGGTAATATACCGTATCAGTATAAAAAAACACACGACAATTTAAAACACAGGCAGGTTAATTTAGCCTTATGAGCAGACAGATTATAAGCAGTGATTGTACCATTCAAGCTAAAAGTGTAGGTAAACAGGAAAAAAATAAACAAAAAATAAGAACTAGATTATGGCAAAAAGAGCAACAAACTATCCATCTGTTACAAGTATTAACTAATATTTTAGAAATTTAAAATTTCAATGTTAGCCACCTAGTGATGTAAATAATACAAATGATTAGTACATATTACTCGGTATTCTAAAAGGAAAAGGAAATAGATGGTGTTGTGTGCCTACAAGGCTAGAGTAAAGACCTTATCGCTCTTGCTAAACATACATACGTGCAAGCACAGTGCCTAGCTAATCCATCAGCAGAATAGAAGGGTGGAGGGGGTGGGAAGAGGCCAGGCCCCTCCGCCCCCTGGCGTCGCTCTTGCTGATACTTTTCTTGTTCTGGTACATCTGCACAGATAAATTATAATGCCTTTTCATCTCTTCTGTCTGCTTATGGCTTTTTAAGATAAAACAGAGCATTGATCTTGCATGCTCTACACTTCGCGCACTGTTTGTTTTTGCCAATAAGTTTGCACACATGTAGCTGTCATTTGGGTAAACAAACTTGCAGATAGTGCCAAATAGTCATAAGAAAATAATTTTCATGGGCTCTTCAGATAATACATTTTTATTCGAATAGATTTTACAGTATCAGATATTAATCATCCAAGCATGCAAACTGTGTCTTGTTATGTGTTAGCTTCTTTATGACCAATACATTTTAAGAGCTCTGAACTGTAGCCCTTAAGAATAGTGAAAATATAGGCAACACTTCCACACCATAAATTGTCATGGATGCAATTGGAGCCTGCAATAATTTCATTAAGTTATAATTGATGTTTCACTAAAGAACTGAGAATGGATAGATGGATCATGTGCAGAAAATCTGAGTTACCCTAGTTTAGGAGGTGTGGTTTGCTCAGCATCATTTTGTTGGCTTGGGGGATTGAGTTCAAGACGAGCAGGAGTGTTGGCTTCCTCGATAACCGCAAAGTTGTATGGAGTTGTTGAATCTCGATTCGCTTCATTTTCTGCCCCTGTCTCATAGAGCTGAGGAGAGAGATTAGCTGTCATCATATAATGAAGCGTATATCCTGTGAAATCATCTATCTGCATTTATCAAGTACCTTCTTGTACAGCTCAGCATTTTCTTGGCGAATCAGGTTGACCTTTCTGTACAGTTCCATGTTTTCTTGGTGGATGAGACTTCCCTGCAAATAAGCCAGCAATAGAGTTAGCTTACTAGCTGATTCAAAGATTTAGCAATTGTACATGATGTTGTAGAACCTTTCGATTCAGTTCGTGGATTTCATCAATCATGAGCTGGTCCTGAAAACAACAATATTGATCTTAAGTTAATCCATTATATAATCAATCAGGTGCCCAACAAAAAAATATGGTTAGTAGGTTGACCTTTTTTGTCCGGATGCAGCGTATGCTCATTTCTAGCTGATTTTCTAGAGTTTGCAGTTCCTTGACACCCAATCCAGAAAGATCTTGCCCCATCAACTGCCTGCCATCAACCAATGGATGTTATAGTGTTGTTCTGATGATATACAGAGTGAATATTGACACTTAATTTTAGCTGATCAACAGACAGCTGTTAATTGATAATAAAAATAATTTGTACCTTTCTAGTTTAGGTATTGTAAATTAGGCCTGAAGGACAAAATGGAGTGTTTGAACAATAATTTACCAGGCAGAAAGCACAGGTGAAGAAAATGTGATATTCACTCTCCTTTGTAAATTTGGTCTGTCCGCCTTTGATGGGTGCTCAGTTCTGTTTTTCTTTTAGAGATAACCGGAAATGCATAAAAATCGAATGGCTGAAGGTATATATTTCTTACTTTTAAATGATATAGAAAATTCACGTGCCTTCTTCATTTCTTTTGTTTGTGAAGGTTAAACAATGCATTATCTATAGGAAATTTGGAATCAGCATATATCACTTTCATACTCTGTTTTTTCTTCTTTTTTCTAAGTATCATATACCCAAGCACTAGGTGCTTGTTTTTATGATCTGGTACTAGTTTATATTTACTATACAATCAGGTGCTGGAAGTATTATTGTCGCTAGCAGTTGCTGGATTCATGAGCAAGTCCCCACAAAAAAAAAAAGTTCATCATCAAGGGTTCATGATGCATGTATTTCATAGTAGTAGATATATGATGGTTTATGTTTTTCTATCTTGAGGAATTTTCTGATGGAACATTGAAAAACTTGCAGGGTTTTATGGCCATACCGATGATTTTCTTGCAAGCTGTGCAGTTGTTGTCTCAAGCTTGCTGCCTCCCTTTGCCAGAACTATTGGATATGAAAACAGAGTCAAGAAATGCAGAATCCAGGTTTGCCAAAAGCAGCAATATAAATATGTTGTGTATACCCATAGAAACATGCTGGGTTATCAACTCACTAGTTTTTTTTTAAAAAAAAGGAAACTCAATTACATTAGACAAGAAGACTATTTGAACTGAGGAAGTTATTGTGTATGGTAAAAGAAGTAACAAGAGGCAAACAAAGAAATTTGTTGTAAACAAATAAGGGAAGTAGTATTATCTTTCCAGTTTGAAGACAGTTTTTTTTCCAGATAAGACGATGAGCTACCAACTCTATTGAATTTGGTACTCCATTATCAGTCCTCGTTTTGCGGGGTGTTACCCCCTATTGTAAAAAGCTTGTTTGTCTAAGCAAAATGCTTCCAAGTCCCACCAAAGCTAGATTAACTACAAAGTATCTGCAGAGTGCACAAGTCAGGTAAAAAACTTGTTTGTCTAAGCAAAATGCTTCCAAGTCCCACCAAGCTAGATTAACTACAAAGTATCTGCAGAGTGCACAAGTCAGATAAAAAACTTGTTTGTCTAAACAAAATGCTCCCAAGTCCCACCAAGCTAGATTAACTACAAAGTATCTGCAGAGTGCACAAGTCAGGTAAGTGATGATTATATCATCCTGGTACAAGCTTTATTGCGGTGAAAGATAAGCAGTTAGTCTGAAATCTGTACAGATCTGTCAGCTGTTACCGAAGCAAAAGGTTCAATGTGAACTTAAAGATGCAGTACTGATCCTTTTAAGAGGATTTAACACAGATTTAACAGGTACGTGCCCCTTGTGATTCTTTGTTAGTTTTCTTGTTATAATGATGTTTTTATCCTCTGAATTCAAGCAGGGTGTTCTGTATGCGAGCTGTGATGGGATGGTTCTCTTCAGAAGCATTTTATTTTAACTAAATTCAGAAGCATTTCGATGGCATGAGGACTGTTCGATTGACAATTTGTATGTACATTTCCACCGTTTACGCAGCTTAGGAATTGGACCATAATTAGTTGTGTACCTGCAAGTTTTGTATACGAATTATCCTGAAGGGTGTTCGGTGGATTGAATATTGCCCTTTTGGTTGTTTTGCGCATCGTGGATGCGGCTGCTCTACATTTTTCTTATAGGAAATCAGCTTCTGATAAAAGGGATTATTATCTGTGTGATCTACTGATCGATATTTTACCCCTCTAGCTGAGTTTATTAAGCCAATTGATTATCGAGTGGGATCCTCTCAACGACACATGAGCATGAGCATCCGGCTGTTTGTTGATTAAGGCCCTCTTTTGTTTATGTTTAAACCTAAATAAATAGATATTTTTTCGTTTGTATTTTTTAAGGTCATAAGTCACTCTATGTTAAGCTAAAAGCTAGGTTACAGTAGCTTTTCTGGTCTATGTGAAGCTAACAGTCTACTACTTAAGGTTTAAAAAACAGCGGCTTAAACAATAAAAATATTCAAAAGAACCAAAGCGAGAGGGCTTAAATGGTTCAGCCGTACTTTAACGGAAAATTTTTTGGAAAGACAAAATGGCAAAGTTGATTGTCACCCATTATTATCCAATTTCGACGTTTGGACAAATCCTCAAATTTTAAATGATAAAAAGTACTCCCTCCGTATTTTAAACGACACCGTTGACTTTTCGACCAATGTTTGACCATTTATTTTATTCAAAACTTTTATGTAAATATGAAAATATTTATGTCATGCTTAAAGAACATTTGATAACGAATCAGGTCATAATAAAATAAATGATAATTACATAAATTTTTTAAATAAGACGAATGATTAAACGTTGAACAAAACGTCAATGGCGTCATACATTAAAATATGGAGGTAGTAATTTAGAAGGTAAGATATTCCTTTACATGTGTGGTAGTTTTTATGGCTTGGGGACTGGGGACCAAGATCTGGTGTGGTTGCTAGTATAACTACAACTTAGCAGTTGCATTAGCAATGCATGATGAGAAATCTAGGTTTACACAAATGTTCTTTAATACATAATCTAGATCATCGAATCAAAATCTGGGGTTGCGAATCTGCCCTAGACTGCTTCGATCCTTATTGCACAGTTGCAGTAAGCATATAATCTCCATGCGGGGACAAGAAAGTCGATTAAGGTAATCAATGCTAGTCTTTGAGGAAGGCAACATAGGGTAATTCTAGTTGCTAATAGCTGCGTTCGCGACAATGATTTGTTGGGGTTTACACCCTCTACCATAATGACACTACCATTATAGACATTGATATGTGTAACACTAAGAAAGCGGAACTCACATATAAGTGACCGTAATGGTATAGTGATATTATGGTAGAGGATCCTCACCCGATTTGTTGTCCTCTTTATTTCCCTTTTTTTAAGAAAGATGACGTGTGTGACTTGTTAGTTGTAAGATAGATTCACTTGTTTTAGGCGGGATTATTTCTCACACTACAGCAAAAGAGGGGGAGCAAACACCTGATTTTGGTAACCTTGGTAAAGACTAGAAATGTTTCTATTTTCTCTCAAAATGAAAGATAGCGAAAGTGGTGATTTGGCAAACCCAATTCAATGGCACAAGGGCTTTCGCCATTGTGAAAAGGTGAGCTCTCAGAAGATTTTGGGGTGTAGGTGGATGCATATAAATGGATGAGGTTGTTTATTTTGAAGTTATTGGCTACCATCTTTGTTGCTGTAGAGACTAGGTTTTATTCTATTGTTAAAAAAAACTTGATTCAAGTGTAATCAACTAAGAGTTGAGAAGGCCAATACATATTTATTCCTTACCATTGTCAATGTACATTTACTATGCAAAAAACCACATCACTAACATTTAAAACAAGAGAAATTATATGTTTCGTTATTGACAAACTACCGATTTTAAAAGTTGCCATTAGAAAGCTCGAGCTCTAGAAAAATATCATCGTACAAGTGTTTTTTTTCTCGTTTTGTCACTGCCATTAGGTTTCCATCCATAAACCTCCATTAAGTCTTTAGAAAACCAATTTGCCCCTAGAATTTGATAAAAACTGTATGAAAAAAATGTTTGCACACTTAATGGAGATCTTTTTATGAGCAGAATGGTCCTTTTAGAAGAATGCAGGTCTATGGATGGAAACCTAGTGGCGATGATAAAAAGGGACAGAAATGCTTGTACCAAGGTATTTTGTATTTCGTAGAACTCACGTTCGTCGATGCCAATTTATAGGACATGTCGCTTGTCAATCGTAAAACGTAGAATTTCTCTTACAACAAACAATGCTTACTTTTTTCATCACAAATGTAGTTAGTAATAAAAGTTGTAAGCCTTGTTATTCCTTGGGTTTATCCCGAGAAAACTCACAAATAAATTACTAAGTCTGAGTTGAGCTACTAGCTATAGTTTTTTTTTTTGGAAAAAAAAAAGGGTTGGCTTACTAACTAGTGTCAACATCATTGAGTCACGGTGATGAGAATGCAATATGTTCTGCAAGCTATGCTACCTTCATATAGCATGCCTCTACCCATTACATGCCTATGTCATAATTTTGCACCTATGAAGGGATGAGCTAGATATACTTAAGTTGGCACTACTTCTTAAGATAACTCCTTATATACCATCCAAAGCTACCTTATATCCCAATAGGGCAAAACCAATGGTAGAATTTGCTTGCACGGTAGGCATTGTTAGGTCTATCAACTAAGGAAACATTTCGCTTATTGGAAGGTTGGTTGAAGAGTAAGGACAGAGGAGACACCACTACAACATAAAAGCTCATCGTGGATAGGCTATCAAGAACTATTTGAAATTCCTCTTATATGAATATAGAGATGCTTGGTTACCATGTCCATCTACATTTGTTGATACCAAGCTAAAGATTGTCTTTGGTGAGAGTATTCGGTACTTATAAGGTTCATCATCACTATATATAGTTAATGTTAATTCTCTCTTCTCTCCTGAAGCCACATCATCCTAGTTATTTGTAGCCTTTGGATCATTCATCTACGATGTAAATTGTCTATGTTCTCTAGGTATACACACATCTAATTTATTTCTAGCATTTTTAATACACCATCTCAATTATTTGTACCCTTTGATCTCATATGAAGATACATTATCTTAATATTTTTAGCATGATATATAATATATAAATGATATTTACTTATATGATGTCCAATCATTTAAAATAAAGCAAATCTAATTTGCATCTCATGTTTACTTATCTCATACATTTTTTCCGCGGCAACACGCATGGGGGTTCCCCTCTAGTATACCTAATAAACACGACCATTGTTTTTGTATATGCATACATGCATGCAGATCACGCGAATTATAACGTAGAGGATGAAGCAATGTGCTTACATGCAATAATGGTGAAAAGGTGTCACTAATGGACCAAAATGGGAATGCATCCTGCTAAGTGCTAGCTAAATAGGCAATAGCTCCGATAACAAAGTTACTGCAATGTACACATGCAGTAGGTAGTTTTTTTTTTCCTGGCCTGTTTAAATTAAAAGCCTAGCTAATTAAAGCCATTTTCCTGTACTTTGTGCCTTAGTTTTGCTACGTATAACTACAAATATAAACTTGCCTAACTGATGCACAGTAAAATTAGAGAACCTTGATTGTGTTTTCTTTTAAGATAATTGAAGTGAACACTCCCGCTCTACGTATAACTACAAATATAAACTTGCCTAATTATCTCTTATTACATAATTCACTCAAAACAACGGAGATTTTAACTGAAAAACTCTGATGTGTCCTTACTCGAAAATAATTTCTTGGTAACAGTTGAGATGATGTAGACGAAGGAAAATAAAGGATGTTGTCAACACGATGAAAATATTGAACATTTATAAGTTTGTGCATGTTTGAAATATCAAACAGTATTAGTGGGAAAATTAATTATGCATATCATAGACGGTCAGATATCGGGAAACTATCCTTCAGACATACTGTCGCAGAAATTTGTGAATTCTGAATAAACAGCACTGACAAATTTATCTCCACCGGAAACCAAATTAATCAGGCTTTCATCTGTGCGATGATCAAATTTATCTTGTTCAATTACGCTTGAAAAGAGATAAATAGTATTCCGGCAGGGGGTGTAGTGCATGTGCATATGTCCAACCAAAACACTGGAACTAACCCAAATGAATAGATGATGTCAAAGGATTATTTCGATCTCTGTTCTTATTTTTAGTTAAGTACTGCATTAATTAGAACAACTTGCTAGCTCCTGCATGCTTTTTTTATTAATCTCTGTTGAGTTAATTTCTCTCAGGTTAGAGTTTAGAAAGGTTAGTTCTCTGTTATATATATGAAGACGCTACAAAACTCCTAAACAACACAAATGACAGAGATCGGCAGAAGAAGAAATATGTTTAGTTGCAGTCATCAAGGCATACCTTCAGCTCCGAGTTGGGGTTTGCGACGTGCTGCTGCTCCTCCTTAGCTCGCCCATATCGATCAATCACTGACTTCATGCTGCACAAAACGAATGGCCGGCACAACTCTTACTAAGATTATTTTTGTAATCTGAAAGCACATGCATGCGTGTGCTAGCTTTTGAGTGTAAGAGTACGGCAAAAAGGGTAAATTAACAATTATATGAAGTGAGCAGAAATCATACGTATAAGTGTACAGTTATCACACAATTTTATTCCAAGAGTGCTAGATCAATTATTGCTTCACTGCAAAGCATAGTTGACATATTTATTCCTTCGAAAAATATGCATGACAAAATAGTAAACACACAACTGACATATGGCCATACATAGGGGGACCCTAGCTAGAAGAAGGTTAAAAACAAAGATGAACAACTAGTAGTTAATCTGAGACTAACAGGAAATTGAAGAACCTGACACATGCATTAGTTCTTAAACACTTATGGCCGATGTATATGTATACATATGACAGGGAATAATAGGTGCAAAGATGCAAAAAAAAAATATATATAAAATTTTCACGATAACCTTTTGTACTACTGAAGCTGTCAAAGGTAAAACTCATTCATAAGATTCTAATCTTTCATGGAGAGAAAAAAAAACCGTAGAAACGGAGAACAATAATAAGAAGAAAGATGCCAACCAAATAAAGTGTTTACGCATGGAGAGTTGAAGACGATCGAGGAAAACATGCTAATAATCATAAGCCAAAGCAAGAACGGAATCTATAGAAAAGCTAATAAGCTAGGGCCGGAGGGAGAAGCCATTGACCTGGTGCTGGCATACTCGTAGAGGCGGCCGGTGCTGGAGAAGATGACGAGGCCGACCTCGGCGTCGCACAGGATGGCCAGCTCCTTGGCCTTCTTGAAGATCCCGTTGCGCCGCTTCGAGAACGTCACCTGCCGGCTCGTCGAGTTGTCGATCCGCCGGATCACTATCTTGCCCCTCCCCATCGATCGATCGATCGATCTCAGCTGGATTGTCGCCGCTCAGGCGAGAGCACAGATAGAAATGGACAGAAAGAGAGAGAGAGAGAGAGAGAAAGAGAGGAGGAGATCTAGCTAGCAGGGAGCTCTTGAAGGAGAAAGCTCCCAGGTTTCCCAGAAGAGGGGGTTGAATTATTGGAGGGGGGGGGAGAAGAGAGGAAGAGGAGGAATGGAAATGGAGGGGTCTTTTGTTGGTGCCTTTGCAAGTTGGCTTTCCTTTAATTGCTTCCTTCCTTTATTTAGTTAGGAGGGGAGAGATATCCCCCCATTGGCTAGGATCACAAGGTGGGTTATTTTAACTGTGAATGCTAAATAAATGGCTGCAATTAAGAGGCCAGGGCAAGGCCAGGCACAGGTAGCTAGCTTCTAGAAATTGTGCAGTGCCTGGAATTGGTCGCACTACTGAGGAAAGTTAAAGGGGATGCTAAGGTTGTGCATCCATAGTTGTGCTACTAATTAATCCATGTTTGGTCTCTTAATATTTTTTATTCATGAAGAACTGATATATATACTTTCTATAAAATATATATGCCATTACTCATCTTTATATTTTTCTAGCAATTTTTAGAATTTTGTATTAATTTGCACCAACGTTACTTCAAAGTTTCAATCATTTGCCATGATTTATATATTAGACATATATAGAGACATACTGAAAAAAATAATCACATGCCTAGTTCATTAATTTCACATTGAATTTTTTTCCTCTACTTTTTTTTTTGCATATATATAATACTGCATTTGTCCCAAAATATAATGATGTCAAAAGTTGCTATATTTTGGAACAAATGTACTATATACAAACTGAATACTCTAATTTAATTTAATCTTACTCAACCATAAAAATTGCCAGCTAAAATTACCTACACCACTAGAATGTCATCGATTACGGGTGGTTTAAATCTTTTACTAGCATTAGAGAAGGTTTGATTAACCGCCTTTGGAAAAGAGTAAGTGAGATAAAGAGGGCCATCACTGCCTCACAAAACCGTCTTGAAAACTGCTGCAGCTATAGTTTGAAACTAATAGATCAGAACAATGTTCTCCATACGGTTCTAATTAAGTCGAGAACAATTAACCATGATAGGTGTAACAAGTGCGTCAAAGAGAAATGGCTAACCTTTTATAGTGGCTATGGATTGAGCTCATTCGATTTCCATAACATAGCAAGGTTTATCATCTACCTACCAAAATAGTTTCAACTAGAAAAAGACTTGTAGGAGGAGAAAAGAAAATAATGTCATTTCGAGTAAAGTGACCCAATTTTAATAACCCTGATGATAATTAAAGTGATCCAAAGATAGATTTCAATTTGCAGTGATGATAGCTGCTGCCTGAGCAATCTCTACTATGGCTGGATGCATGCTGTCATCATTTTTCCATGGACAATTTAAAACATAAAGCCTACTACTCTCTCTGTATTTTAATGTATAACGCCGTTGACTCTTTGATCAACGTTTGACCATTCGTCTTATTTAATTTTTTTGTGCAAATATAAAAATATTTATGTCATGTTTAAAGAACATTTGATGATAAATCAAGTCATAATAAAATAAATGATAATTACATTTTTTTTAATAAGACGAAAGGTCAAACATTTATTAAAAAGTCAAAGGCGTCATACATTAAAATACGGAAGAAGTACAATGTAAAATTCTTTACATGTACTCCATCCGTACTTGTAAAGGAAGTCGTTTTGGACAGCGACACGGTCTCCAAAACACAACTTTGACTTCTTGTTTCTATAAAAATATTTATTGAAAGTGATATATATGTATACTTTTATGAAATTATTTTTTAAGACAAATCTATTCATATAATTTTTATATTTTTAAACTCAACAACTTGAGAGTTATTTCTGATTTATATTTCCAAGACTTGACTTAAACATTATCATAAACGACTTTCTTTATGAGTAGTGAAGGAATACATGCATGTTCATCCATGCACTTTTGTACATCTAAATGTAGAACTTCATCTCCTTAATTAGCTGGTGAGGTCAGGCATCTCTATCATAGCTAATGAGGTGGTCACACAAACCTCGGCATCTCTCCCTAATTAAGCTCCGTTTCGTCTTAAACAACGTTGGAGTACTAGAGTAGTATAGTAGTACTAGAGTACGCCAAGCTGAAAATTTTAATTAATCGATACTAAAATTGAGACGTGCATCTCGTAACAATTGTCGCGCTGATCACATGGGAGCCTAATATAATGCACGCCCATGAGAGGGCCACCATGGCCCATCCAATGAGAGCTAGCTAGCTAGCTCTTAATTACTTGGTGGTTTAGTTGCTTCGAGTTTCGCTGAAGAAAGGCAACAACCTGTGTCACGGTGTGTGGTTAATTAGTGTAGTTTATTGTTCTAAATCGAGCAAAACGACAGAGTGCGTGACCAACGATCCTCTTAATTCCGACCTCAAGAGATTAATTAGTCCTGTTTAATTTGCCCCATAAGCTAAACGTAATTAGAGCAGGTACAATAGCAGGCTATAAGCCAGCTGCAAACATATTTTAAGAAGATAAATAAGGAGAGAGAAGAGCAGCGGGCTACAGATTTGTAATCAGCTGTAGCACGGACTCTAAGACGCGGTGTGTGTATGATAGGTGGGACTAGATATTTATAGTGTAGTATGTAACTATTGTATGAATGAGCTATTAGATTGGCTATATATGAATTGGAGCTAGTAGTTGGCTATACTATTAAACTTGCTCTTAAGCTATCAAGCTATACCTCATGTGACTAGATAGCCAATTGATTGGCTGAGACGGCTACTACCCTACTACTAATAATTAATGATAGGTGTATATATATTAGATGAATCAAGTGTATATATATATATATACATATATATATATATATAGATAGAACTATGTATAGATTAATTTGTACAGATTGATAAGATCTATGGACTGCATGTTTCGGAGTTCAGCTAGCTGTAGAGATCGTGCAGGGTTTCTGAATAGGGAAAGATGGAAATTAGTGACATCGATCCGCCATTAAGTGGAGGATTAACTATAGCAAGTTGATGCCTTTTGAATTCTTACGTACGTACCGCGCACCTTCTTACAAGAGAACCACACTATACTAACACTCCTTTTTGGATCTTCTAGCTCGTAGTCGTAGACATATGCAGCTTTTCTAGAATCTACATCTCACTCAAACAGTAGAAAAATAAATTCGAAATCAAAATGGAAATCTAGATTTTCCATATTCTCACTATGGCTGTGTTTAGATCCTAAGTTTGATCCAAACTTCAGTCTTTTTCCATCACATCAACCTGTCATAGACACATAACTTTTCAATCAAATCATCTCTAATTTCAACCAAAATCTAAACTTTACGCTGAACTAAACACAGCCTATAACTGCACCTCAAAATTTCGAGTTCCACCGAATAGGGCCTAAGTATATCTCAAAATAATAGCAATAATATGTCCCACATTAAGTTTCTGAATTTCCTTAATTTCTGTAAGAATATTCCCTGCTAATCAGGTCTTCTATGAGCTTTTTTAATTATTCTTGAACTTGTTTTATTATCATGGTCAACAACTTACATGCTAGGATCCTTTTTTTATACATCATGCTAGGAACTTGTTCGTCATGTAATGCCAGTTGCTAAAAGTCAAGATATAGGTGATAAAACCATTATACACACGCCCTAGCTAGGTATTCCTCCGGTCATAATGTTGTCTTCAATTATGTGTATATATATGTAGCTAATCCGCGTTAACCTTAACCATATGTAGTTACTACTCTATCGAAAATGTAGGTTTTGGGTATATATATATATATATATATATATGAAAATAAATAATATAGTCACATTTATCATAACGATATATATTTTTAATAATACTACACTTATACCACTCTCTTTTTCATTTATGCAAGAGAATTAGAATATTAGATCATCAAAGTCATTCCATATGTATATTGGCTTTTAGAAATAAAATACATAAGCTTTTTTATGAGGGTAGGTACCACTCTCATCTCTAAACTCGAAATTAAGCTACCATGAGGCAGTGTTAAGAAAGGATAGATGCTCTCTCCCTCCGTTCCAAAATATCTTATTTTAAGAGTAAATTGCATTGGTGGTACATAAACTTGTTAGTTGGGTGCAATTTAGTATATAAACTTGTAAAATGCTTGTTTCAGTACACGAACTTGTCTAGTTCGTGCAAACGAGGATAAAAATAACTTGGCAATGTTAATTTTACGAAGCTGATGTTGATTAGGATATGACGTGCATACGTGTAGTAAGTATACATAAGACATGCAATATTTATAAATTTGGTCTCTAATTTTATCTTTTATCATGGAAAAGATGAATTTGGTATATTTCTAACCCTTATACCATTGCTCGGTTTTTTAATCTTTTTCTACTATCGCTATATCCTACTCTATTTTTTATTGAAGCTTTTTTATTGAAGAGGTGTATTTCTAATAGCAACCTTCTCAGATATATGTTTACATAGTATCCTAACCAGCCCTAAATCAATAAGATTAGCCATGTTTTATTGAAGAGGTATATGTCTAATAGCAACCTTCTCTCAGATATATGTTTACATAGTATCCTAATCAGCCCCTAAATCAATAAGATTAGCTATGTAGTGTCTTTTTCACCTTCCTCCGCACGCACAGACAAGTTCATATACCAAAGCGAGTATTTTACAAGTTCGTGTACTAGATTGCACCTACCTGACAAGTTCGTGTACCGATGATTCAATTTACTCTTATTTTAATATGGGATGTGATATAATCGTAGTGTTAAAATGTGTCACATATTTTACTAGGTTAATTTATTTTGATATGACACGAGGATAATATTTAATTAAGGTCTTGTTTAGTTCTAAACTTTTTCTTCAAACTTCCAACTTTTTCATCACATCAAAACTTTCCTACATATACAAACTTTCAACTTTTCCATCACATCGTTCCAATTTCAACCAAACTTCCAATTTTAACGTTAACTAAACACACCCTAAAACACACCCTAAGTACTGTAAGGAATTGCATTCACCGATGACAGGAAGTCTTGTCGTAGGAGAAGCACTAGGTCCGTCTTTTTGAGTGAATATGCGTTTCTGAGTTTGAGCCAGCCAAGAGGTTCATGGTACCAATGCTCTATTATTGCACAAGAGTGCACGTGAACACGTCACCCTGAACGGCCTGCGCAGTGCGCACGAGA